TTGTGTATGACTGTGCAAACATGTCTGTGTATGTGTGTATCTGCGTGTGTATAACTGTGCCCACTGTATCTGTGTGTATGTGTGTGTGTGTGAGAGAGAGAGAGAGAGAGAGAGAGAGATTGTGCCCACACGTCTGTGTGCGTGTGTGCGTGTGTCTGTCACTGTGCCCACATGTCTGTGTGTGCACATCAGTGTTTATGCACACTTTTCCAGCCTTGAGAAACAGCCTGTGAGTTTGGGATTGGAAGGAAGGGGCTGAGCAGTTCTCAGCTTCCCGTCTGTTTGAAGTTCCTAATGGCTTACATACTCAACATCTGTTACCGAGAAGCAGACAGCAACTAATTACTGCTTTTAACAGGGCTGGGCAGCGTGAGAACCAAAGGGTGGGACTGAGGTTGATGGCAGAAACCTTTAAAACATAAAATGGGAAAGATAATCAGCAGAGGAGAGTGAATCGGGTGACAGTCCTGGACTGAAACTGACTGATCTGAGCAGCAACACTCGTTAATGGAGGATCAATTTAATCAAATCCCAGAGAGGGGCTAAATATTCATTGGATTAAATAATGATAACATCCAAACTTGCTATAATTATTAATCCAAACTCACCATTCGTGTGGAAAATGCTTCTGCTCCCTGTTCATGTGTACAGAGAGTAGTGGGCAGGAAGAATATGATCAGATACAAACTTATCACATTTTCATGGCATTCCCTGTTATACTATTTTTAAAGTGACACAGAAATATCTTTCTACATTAATGTGTTGTTGTCAGGGGGTTTGGAATACAAAGGGCAGGATATTATGTTTCAGTTGTGCATATTCTTAGATGTATCCTTAAAAAAACTACAGAACTGTGGATGCTGGAAATCAGAAACAAAAGCAGAAATTGTTGGAAAATCTCAGCAGGTCTGGCAGCATCTATGGGGACAGAAAAACAGAGTTAACGTTTCGACTTTGAAACAAGCTTTTTTCGTCTGTCTCCGGAGATTCATACCCAGCTTGAAAAGTTCTCTCTCCACAGATGCTGCCCGACCTGCTGAGTTTCTCCAGCAATTTCTGAGCTTGTTTCAGATTTCCAGCGTCCAGGAGTTTGATTTTTTTATCACTGCACTCAGCACTGGGCACCACACCTTGGGGAGGATGTAATGGCCTTGGATAGGATACTGCGTTGCTTCAGCAGAATGCTAGCAGGACGCTACCAATGTGTTAAGTTGTGAGGACAGAGTACATGAATTGGTATTCCATTGGGTAGAACCATGAGAAAGCACAGGAAATAATAACAGGAAGAAAGAAATGATTTATTCCCCTAATGTTGCTAGAGGCAACGTAGGTGATATTGTGAAATTCATTGCACTGGCCAATGTATAGGAGCAAACAAAGCCTGGCAAGGCCAGTTGGAGCATGTGCGTTTCCAAAAGGCAGAACACTTGTGTTTACACAGAGGTACATCAATCCTGTTACTTCAAAGGAGAAAGAGATTATGAGCATTGTACCATGGCTAACCCTTCCTCCTCCCCTCCCCCCACCACCATGACGAAGGACAAGGGCAGCAGACATTTTGACTACCAACCCCTGCAAATTCCCCTCCAAGCCGCTCATCAAACTGACGTGGAAATATATCGCCGTTCCTTCACTGTCACTGGGTCAAATCCTGGATTCCCTCCCTAAGGGTATTACGGGTCTACCTCCAGCACATGGGCTGCAGCAGTTTCATAAAGCATATGGCATATGAAGAGAAACTGGACTGATTAAGACTACATTCATTGGAGCTTAGAAGAATGAGGGAGGATCTCACAGAAATCTAGAAAATTCTAACAGGGCTAGACTGGGTAAGCACAAGGATGTTCCCAATGACCCAGCAGTCCTGAACCAGAGGCTCACATTCTCAGGAAATGCGATAGGCTATTTAGGACTGAGATGAGGAGAAATGTCATCATTTCATCATGCCATCATTGTATTGAATGGTGGAGCAGGGTCAAAGGGCCGAATGGCCTACTCCAGCACCTTTTCTCTATGTTCCTAAGGTAGCTCACCATCACTTTCTCAGGGTCATTAAGGGCCGGCAATAAATGCTAGCCCATCCAGCAATGGCCACATCCTATGAAAAAGTTTGTAAATAACCTTTAATGCCAAAAATTCCCAAGGTGCTTCACCAGAGTATTATCAGAGAAGGTGTGACACAGAGACACATAAGGAGATATTAGGATGGGTGGTCAAAAGTCAAACAGATAGATCTTAAGGAATGTTTTAAATGAGCAACAAGAGGCAAGGAGTTTTAGGAGAAAATTCCAGAGCTTAGGGCTTCAACAATGGAAGGTACAGGCAGTAGATGGTGCATCATTTGATTGAAAGCACTCTTAGGCCGACATAGAGGGTCAATATCTACCAACAAAACATTTCAGGATGGTGGAGGGATGGATGATCGATGAACAAAAGACCAGAGCTGGAGGAACATAAAGATCACTCTTAATCACAGACAGATACTTGATCAGTTGGGCAGTCAAGGTTAGTGTGGAAAAGGCAGGAAAGGGGACATGAGGAATGTTGGATGAACCATGATCCTATTGAATGGTGGAGCAGGCTCAAGGGGCAAATTGGCCTGCTCCTGTTCCTGTTTCTTATTTGGTCTTATGGTGTTATCTCAAAGGAACATAGGAAATGGAAGTTGTATTCAGCCAGTTAGCCCCTCAAGCCTGCTCCTCCATTCCACTGATAACGACTGACCTTCCACCTTGATCTTCACAGGTTACAGTTTGGGCAGATGGCCAAGAGTGGGTGGGTGAACGAGAACTTGAAGGGCTTTGAACATGAATATACTCAATGACATGGCCTCCACTGTTTTCCTGGGGAAGAGAATGCCACTAAGAGAGAAAATGTCTCCTTATCTCCATCTTAAAAGTGAAACTCCTTAAACAGCGTTTCCCAGGTCTACTCTGTCCTACAAGGGGAAATGTCATTTTAGAATCCACCTGGTCTGTGTAATTCTGTCTAACTGTTGAATCTAAATTCATGTGGGATCAAAAATGATAGAGTTATAGAGTCACACAGCACAGAAACAGGCCCTTTGGTCCAACTCATCTGCACTGACCAGATATCCCAAACTGACCTAATCCCATTTGCCAGCATTTGGCCCATATCCCTCTAAACGCTTCCTATTCATATACACATCCAAATGCCTTTTAAATGTTGCAATTGTACCAGCCTCTACTACTTCCTCTGGCAGCTCATTCCATACACGCACCAC